CTTTGTCACCCATCTGGGGAAGGCATCTCATTATTCCTAAAGAGAAAGAAAGATCTCTATTAAGACAGCGAAAATCAATTACAGGAATCAATTACATTATTATACCATTCAAATTCCTTTTTTTAGGCCAACCATTGTGCAGCATATAGAATATTGAATAGGAAAGAACTGAGTATACATCATCTATTCATATCTTTTATAACTGTCCAAGTCTACAGAGCACTGTAATCAATCAATAAGTAAAATTTATTGTCAATAAAATGCATTGCTTTCTATGTGTTTACAGCATGTTAGACACTGTGGTGAATATACAACAAAGATATAAAACATTGTCTGACCTCAAGGACCTAAACATCTAGTTGGGGAGATAGGATTAACTCATTTGAAATAATTGTCATTGTCATCAACAAATTTTTCTTAATTTTTATTTTATTGCTTTAATTAACAAAAATCTATTTTTGCTCCCTCCCACCTCTCCATTTAAAAAAAAAAGAAAAAAAAGAAACTTTGGTAATAAATGTGCATCATCAAACATAACAAATTTCTGCATTGGCTATGTCTTAAAAATATGTTTTACCTGGGAAAAACTTACATGAACTGATACTGAGTGAAATGAATAGAACCAGGAGAACATTGTAACAGCCACACTGTGCGATAACTGACTTTGATAGACTTGGCTCTTCACAGCAATGTAAGAATCTAAGACAACTTCAAAAGACTCATGATGGAAAGTGCTATTCACATCCAGCGAAAGAACTATGGAGTCTGAATGCAGATGGAAGCATACTATTTGCTCTCCTTTTCTTTCGTTGTTTTGTTTTATTTCTTCTTTCTCATGGTTCCTCCCATCAGTTGTAATTCTTGTATGGGAAATACTCTTAATATGAATGTATAAGTAGGCCTATATTAGATTGCATGCCATGGGGGGGTGGAGAAAGAGGGGGAGAAAATTTAAAATTCAAAATCTTATGAAAGTGAATGTTGAAAACTAAAAATAAATATTTAAAAAATTAAAAATTAAAAAATTAAAAATATATGTTTTAGTCTGTTCCTTCAATTCATCATGTCTCTGTCAAAAGGTGAATAGTATATTTCATTGTAGGTCCTCTGAAATTACGTCTGGTTATTGCATTGATCAGAGTTCTTAAGTGTTTCAAACTTGTTTTTGTTTACAATGTTTTTGTTGTTATATAAATCATTGCCCTAGTTCTGCTCACTTCATTCTACATCAGTTCATAAAAGCTTTCCTGGGTTTATCTAAAAATCTAAAATGGTCTTTCCTTATTTCTTTCTCACAATAATATTCCATTTCATTCATACATCCTAATTTGTTCAGTTATTCCTGTTTATAATGGGCATCCTGTTTGTTTTCAGTTCTTTGCCACCACAAAAAAAAGCTTGCTTCTATAAATATTTTTTTAATATTTACATTTCCATTAGTTAGCACCATGCTTGGCACAGAGCAAGGGCTTAAAAAATACTTTTTTTCATTCAAATTGCATGGTGTCCAGTGAAGAAAGTGATCAAATAAAAAAGGAACAGTTAGGGAAAGTTTCATGGAAAAAGTAGCTGGAGAACTGGCCCTTGTGGGTTTTGAATAAACAGAGAGGAAAGAAGAGGCCATTTCAGGTGAGTAATCCAGCTACAGAAGCCAAGGTACAGAGTTAGAATGAGAATGAAATGTACTGAAACAGGTAGGAGATTGACAGGATGGAGGGTGTGCCATTAGAGATGTAGGTCAGATTAGAGAGAGCCTTGAAAGTCAGGCAGAGGGGTTTAGATTCGGTTTGGGAGAAAAGGCTGGCCTTATGAATAGACAGACACCTGAGGGTGTGATTAATGAGAGGGTGACAAGTATCCCCAATTATCAATTTCACTTCTTGATACAGCTTTATTTCTTTAAGGCTACAAGGCTTTCCTGACTTTTCAGATCACTTCTTAGAATGAAAATCCCTATGCCTATGCTGTCATAAGAGATAGTAGAGATCAGCTAATCCAGCCCCCTCATTTATAGATGAGGAAACTGAGGCCTGGATAAGTTAATTAACTTGTCTAAGGTATTAAGGTAGCAAATACTATACAATAAAAAAATAATAATAATAGTATTAGCAATAGTAATAATAGCTAGCATTTATATCTCACTTTGGAGGCAGCTAGGTGGTGCAGTGGATAGAGTGGTGGGCCTGGAGTCAAGAAGATCTGAGTTCAAATGTGACCTCAGACCCTCACCAGCCGTGTGACCCTGGGCAAGTCACTTTACCTCTGTTTGTCTTAATCTACTGAAGAAGGAAACGACAAACCACTCCAGTATCTTTGCCAAGAAAACCCTCACAGACAGGATGGTCCACTGAGTTGGACAAAGTTGAACAACAATATAGCATTTTAAGGTTTGCAAAGTGCTTTACAAATATTACCTCATTCAATCTTCACAAGAAATCTAGGAGGTAAGGGGTTTTTTTTTTTTTTTTAGAGTTGAGGAAACTGAGGCAGGCAGAGATGAAAAGATTTGCCCAGTAGTAAATGTATGAGGTCACATTTGAACTCAAGTCTTCCTAACTAGTAAATATATGAGGTCAAATTTGAACTCAGGTCTTCCTAACTCTAGATTCTGACTCCAGCTGCCTACTAAACAACTTTGAAGTTTTTTTTTTTTGAGGGGGTGAGGCGGTGAATGGGAGAGGGTGGAGTTATACCTGTGATTTAATCAATGTGGGAAACTCCTTGTACAAAAATTTCCTCCAGCACACAAAGCAGTAGCCAGCTGTAATTGACAATTTCAGAGAGTTGCCTAAGGACACTGAGATGTTAAGTGCCAGAGGCAAGACTCAACCCAGGTCTTCCGGACTCCAAGACCCGATCTCTATCCACTACCTCTCATGTTTTCAGTATTATCAGCTAACACCTTAGTAAATATTGGGGTTAGTACCCCAGACAGTCACTAGTTGTTTGACCCTACTAAGTCCCTTAGCCTCTCTTGAGATGTGAACTTGAAAGAGCCAACGTTATGTAAGAACTGAGCTAAATTGAGCCCATTCCACCCCATCCACCTCCACACTGAGGTGGTTTAGGGAGGAGCACGGCCCCAAGATTTTCTAGGGGAAATGTTTATTTCTTGGTATGTTTTTGGAGCAAATATCCATTTGCAAAAGTTATTTGATGTTAAATAGTTGTGATTAGCCAATGGTCCCTAATAAAGCGTGAGGGTGTGTGTAGAGCATGTGTGAGGACTCGGCCTTTGGGGGCTTTAGCCAATGGTAGAGAAGGGACATCCCACCAACCTATGAGGGTACCTTAGAATCTTCAGGGGTAGATATAGCAGCCTGGCTGTGGGAGAGTGAGCCAGAGCAATCATTCACAGGTGATAAAGAGGCAGACCTGGAATCAGGAAGACTTACTAGCTTTGTGACTCTGGTCAAGTCATTTAACCTTTTTCTACCTTAGTTTCCTCATCTGTAAAATGAGGATAATAATAGCACCTACCTCAGGGCTGTTGGGTAGCTAGATGGCACAGTCATTAGAATTCTGGGCCTAGAATAAAAAAAAAAATTCACCTTGCTGAGTTCAAATGTAGCCTCAGACACTTAACTAGCTGTGTGACCCTAGGCAAGTCACTTAACTCTGCGTCAGTTTCTTCATCTGTAAAACTAGCTAGAGAAGGAAATGACAAACCACTCTAGCATCTCTGCCAAGAAATCCCCAAATGGGGTCACAAAGAGTTGGACACAACTGAACAACAAAATCCAGGACTGTTGTTAGGATCAAATGAAATAATAATTAATTGTAGAGCCCCAAGCACATAGGAAACATCATATAAATGTTAGCGATTATTATTTTTGAATTCTTTTCCAGCTCAAAACTTAGGATTCTATGATCTCCTTGAATCAGAAGTGAAGTAGGTTTAGGAGAAAATATGATAAACTGTCTATCTGAAAAGCAAGCTGTGGAACAACACCGAGATGCAAACATACCAAAAGCCGCTGGAAGTCCCAGTCTGGAAGAGAGGTTAGAACTAGAGATAAGATTTGAGCTTTATCCTTTAAGAATGAATGAGTAAAGGAAAAAGCATTTCTTAAGAGCTAAGTGCATTGCGCATTCTTTTGCAACTTACTGAGAAATGGGGATACTAACACAAAAGAGACAGTCCCTGCCCTCAAGGAGTTTGCATTCTATCTGGAGGGGTGGGTGGTTAGAGAAGAAGGTTTTGGTCCGGAAGTCACTAATTTGGTTAATGACTGGAGCCTTTGGGCAGTAAGTAGATGAGCCCTTTCTAGAAGCAAAGAGAATGTTGTTTTGCTTCCTGGTCCCAGAAGAGGTTTCTACCTCTTGGGTGTATGTGTTGCAGTATGCATATCATGTCAGAAGATAGCAGAGGTGAAGCATTGTTGGGGTAGTGCTGGTTGAAGTCATAGGAATGGAGGATATTGTCATGAAAGTGTAGGCAGATGAGAGATGAGCGCCAAGCAGAGAACCTTGGGGACTACAAATCTGGGAACATTTGTTCCCATTACTATTCTTTAGGTCTGCCTAGCAGAAAGGGGAGGGGGAGTGTCACCCAAAAAAAGTGTCCAAAAAAAGATACCAGTTCAAAAATACAAGAGAACTTCTTTGGAAGTCCTATCAAATACCCCCAGCCCCTAAAGTAAACGCCCACCTCCTCCTCTACCCTTCAAAGAGAAGACTTTGTGGGACAGGAAGCCTGTGCTCTGAGTTGCTGCAGGCCCATTAGAAGTGCAGCGATTTCCTTTCAAGCTGCCCAGTTATCTATAGACTCAAGAACAGAGTCTCCGAAGAGCCCGTACTCTCCCCCACCCCTTTACTCCTCAACCCACCCACCTACTTCCTCCTACTCTACACACATATGCAGAGGGCTGCCAAAAATTTCCACCCTCCTCGCCCCCCCCCCCCCCCCCACTTCCCTAGCTAACTTCCTTCCAGCATTTCCTGAGCTGGATGATCCTAGGATTTGTAAGACAGGAAAAAAAAGGAAAGAGTGAGGGCGGTCGAGAGAGACAGGATGCTTGTTTTTCATTTGACCAAAGCGGTCTGAAGGCAAGACACCGGGGCCTAAGAAAGCAAGCTCTCTGTGGAATCTGCCCAAGCTCCCGCTTCACTCGCTTGCTAGTTTGCTAGCCCATTATCCCCCTCCGTTGTATTCTCCTCCTTCTCTGAACATATTTAGTCGGAAAGCGGGTGAAGGAGGGGGTGAGGGAAGGAGACCGCTCCCCTTCCCTCTAAAGCAGAGGAAAAACACCAGAAGACCCAGCAGGAGGCTGTGAAAGTCCCTGGGACTCCAGCAAGGAAGTGACACTCCCAGCATAACATCTACTTCAGCTGCCAAGTCCGAAGCGGGGCCCTCCTCCACCCACTGCTTTCCTTTGATGAGAACTCTTTGGATTTCAGGCTATGCTCTCTCCACTGCCTCCTCCGGAGCCGGGCTGCGTCCTTCCCTTCCCCCACCCGAAGAGGGGCTGAGTTGAGCCGCCTCGGGTCCGCTTTCATGTGGATGTCTCTGATCCCGAACCCTTCTCTCCTCCACACCACCCGATGTGACCCTCCCAAGCCGTGCTCCAGGCGCTGATCCGAGGAGGAGAATCCATCTTCAGCCCGGTGCCAAGCGGAGGGGGAGGGAGGGACCGAGAGGGGGGTGAGCCTCTTTGGGACTAACTCATGAAGAACAAGGGTGCAAAACAGAAGTTGAAACGAAAGGGTGCTACCGGTGCATTTGGCTGTGACCTGACCGAATATCTGGAGACCTCGGGCCAGGATGGTAATGTGCTCATTCTCTTTTTATTGTTGGAGTGTTGTTTTTTGGGGGGGGGGGGGGGGGGGGGGGGAGGGAGGAGAAACTGACCCTGCTAGGGTGAGGTGGATTCAGATCTCCCTGTGAGTTTTGTTGTAAGCGTAATGAATTGCGCCCCATAGGCTCTTAGGAGAATCCGCTATATTAACTGTCACCCAACTCTGCCCCATCGGAAGGGGATGTCCGCGGAAGCTGCCCGATCTTCGTGAGGCGCGGGCTTCTTGGTGCTTGGGTGCTGCCCAGCTGATCCGCCAGCTGTCCTCTAGGATGCCAGTGGAGAGTGAACTCCCTAGTCCTGTCCCCAGGCTGGGATGCTGGCCGATAGCTGGAAGAAAGACGGACAGACAGACGGACGCACGGACTAGAGGAGTGAAGGGTTTGCTGCCTTGAGAGTCTAAACCTGGAATGGCTTGAGTGTCCCTCCCTCATTCCAATTTCAGTAGAGCTCCCATCTCCCCTTGTAAGAGTGTACTGGAAGGGGGGGGCAATCTTCACTGGGGGAGTGGTTGTGCTAACATTTTCTGCATTTCTGAACAGATGCCAGATTTATACTACCTCCTTTCCCATCCCCACACCCCCCACCCCATACCTCCTCCTGGGCTTTCAGATTAGCATATGGTGTGTCAAACAAGGGGAGTGTTGTAAAAAGGTCAAAGGGCTCTGGCTTGAAAATAGTTTGGGTTGTGTAAAAGAAACAGAGAACATTTATGTTTTCAAGGTTGGAGAGAAAGAAAAGGGGGCCCAGTGGGGTAGAAACAATTGAAAGATTCATTGCCAAAGGAAAAAAAAAAGCGCCAAACAATACAATAACAGTAATGTAGTATTTCAGGTTAGAAGGTAAATTATGGGAAAAGTCAGAAAATTAAGTGTTAAGTCTCCTCTTGTAAGACTAACTGTCCCCAGTACCCCCAATCCCATCAACTAACCCATCACAACTGAACCTTTTACTTTAGAAACAGCTTGTACTGCATTGTAAGTTAAAAATTATAGCAAACAGGGAAGTTTGAATGGGGCTTCACAGTGTTATTATTAATACCATTGGCAGTATTACTGGAATGATAAAAGTTATCCTAAAACATTTGAAGAGGCTCCCTACCATATGTCCAGTCAGTATTCGGTGTCTCCCACAACAGTGCAAATCTTCTGCTTTAACTTCCTTTATATCAGTACAAAGCACCTAGTTATTTGCAGCCTTGTAATATGTAAAATATTCCAGTTTACTTCATAATAACATAATGTAATAATAATTAATGTAGTACTTTAAGGCTTGCAAAGTACTTTACAACATCCCATTTAATCTTCCCTACCACACTGTGAAGTAATGCTACAAATTATCCCTCCTCTTTATATAAATGAGGATACTGAGGCTGAGTTTGCTTAGGATACTTGCCTAGAGTCACATGGCTTGTAAGTTACCCAGGTATGATTTGAAGCCACTGTCTTTCCTCTGACTCCATCTCTTGCACCCTACATACTGTTCTGGACTGTCTCTTCCCAGAGAGACTTATAGTATTTAAACAAATGGATTATTAAACTAGAAATTACTGGGGGAACAAAACAGTGAATCAGTCATCAAAAAGTCCTTGACTTAAAATTGGGAAGCGGTTTGTACTCTGGATCAATTTTTATTCAGTTCTTGTAACACTCCCATGACCCACCCATACTTGAGTCAAGAAATAAATGTGGAATAGATTCTCCTTTGGGCTTGAGAGAGCATTTAAAAAAATAATATCTTTATTTTTTCCCAATTACAAGTAAAAACAGTTTTTAACATTCATTTTTTTTACAATTTTGAGTTCTACATTTTCTCCCCTCTCCTTCCCCTTCCCTGAGATGGTAAGCAATTTGCTATAGGCTAGGCTATACACGTGCAATCAGGGCATGAGAAAGCATTAACTCTGTATGAGTGCTTTTAGGTTTAAGTCAACAAGCAAGTCAAGTCAACAACACTTATGGAGTACCTATTATGTGCCAGGTATCGCCACACTTCACAGCTTTTCTTCCCTCCTTCCATTTTCTCAAGTGCATTCGGGTTCAAGGCCATATGTAAAATGAATACCTTTGAAAACCACCTTTAGGCCTATTCCCTGCAGTGGCTTCTAATTTGTTTGTTTGTTTTTTTTTTGTTTCTTTCCTCATCCTCCAAAAGAGGGCTGAGAACTGGGGGGGGGGGGGGTGGGGGTCTATTGTCAGCACTACTCTATAGATCATAGAAATTTAGAACTGGAAGAAACTATACTGATGACATTAAGGTCAAGTCACTTAACCTAATGAGAAGGTTGGAGTAAAATGTTCTCTTCCAGCTCAGTTCCTAGTATTTCTGTTATTCTAAACTATCTATCAATCAACAAATATTTATTAAGCATCTATTATGAACCAATCGCAGTGCTCCATTATAGGGATACAATGACCACACTGAAATATAATGTAGGCTCTCAAACCTACATATATATCTATAGATATATAAAAAATAGATAGGAAGGAAGTGTCTTTTTTTTTTGGTAGGAGAGTATATCAGCAACTGAGGGAATCAGAGAAGGCTTCATATAGAAGGTAGTTCCTGAGCTGAGACTTGAAGAAACCTAGGCATTCCACAAGGAAGATGCATTTCAGGAATGGGAGATGGTCAATGCAAAGGCATAGAGGAGAAATGAAACAGTAAAAAGACTAGGTAAATTGAATCATAAAGTCATGAAAAGAAGTGATATGTAATAAGGTTAGAAAGGCATATTGGGACCAGGTTGTGAAGGGCTTTAAATTTTTATTTATATAGTCAATGTTTCACATAGTAATTTCCATATTACTAAGAGCTTAGTAAACGCTTTTTTCATTCATTCATTTAAATTACAAACAGCAAACGGAGTTTATATCTGATCCTCTCATGATGGAAGTGTAGAGTAGGGAAATAATATGATCAGACCTATGCCTTAAGACTATCTTCCTGGGGGAGGAGGGTAGGTGGGTGTGGATTAGAGTGGTGAGAGGCATTAGACGGGATACAAAATAGGAGATAATTGCTTTAGTTCTTGTGAGAGGTGGGGCATGAACTGAGGCGGCAGCTGTGTGGGTGGAGAGAAGGGGACTGTGCTAGAGATGTTCTTGAGGAAGAAACAAGATTCAGCCACTCATTAGATATGGGAGATAATGGAGAATGAGGATGATGAGAAGGATGACACTGAGTACCTAAGTGACTAGAAGAATGGTAGTCTCATTGACAGTAACAGAGAAATCCAGAAGGGTGGGTTTTGGAAGATAATGAGTTTGTTTTGAACATATTGAGTTTGAGGTGCCTACTGACATACAGTTCAAAATATCCAATAGGTTTTAGATGATAATGAGGGACTGGAGCATAGGAGAGATATGTGGATCTGGGAGTCATCTGCAGAGGTGGTAATTTAACCGTTGGGAGCTGGTGAGATCACCTAAGGAGAGCACAGAGAGAGGAGAGGGACACCAGGACAGAGCCCTGGAGTATACCTACACTTTTATGTACATAGTTGTTTTGCATATAGTGTCCCTCATTAGAATGTGAGCTCTTTGAGAGTAGGGACTTTTTTGGGGGGGTGGGGGGTGGGGAACGACTTTTCTTTGTAGCCCAAGCCCTTAGCACAGTACCTAGTACATAAGTCATCTTATCTAAATGGCAAGCTGCATATAATGGGCAAATATGGCATCAGAAGAACTACGTTGAATTCCTGACTGTCGCTTCCTTAGTCTGTGATCTTCCACAAATCATTATATTACCCTGTGTTTCTCATCTGCAAAATGGAGGTAACAGTAGAATTTTGGAACTGAAGTCTGCTCCAATTCCCTCATTTTTCAAATGAGGACCTTGGCTAAATGAGACCAGAGGAGTAAAATGATTTTCCCAAGATCCTACAACGAAATAGTAGCAGAGTTGGGGCTTGAAACTAGTTCTCTAGATTACCAGACCAAGATAATGTGTGAGCCCTGGCAAACACACACACACACACACACACACACAGCCTTTCATTCGGGAGTGTTATAAGAATCAAACATGATGATTTATGTAAATTCTATGTAGCCATAAAGTCTTACACAAATATTCACTGTTATTAATCAGCTAAAGAAAGGAAGTATGGTGGAGTGGATGGAGAGTCGGTCTTAAAGTGAGGAAGACTAGGTCTCAGTGAGAGGCAGCAGGGTATAGTGGGTAGAAAGCTATCCTCAAAGACAGGAAAACCCAGGTTCAATCCCAATTCTGACACATACTATCTGTGGGATCCTGGGAGAATCACTACGTCTCAGTGCTCTAAGCAGCTCTTTTAAGACTATAAGCTGCAAAAAAGGTACCATCTATGGTAGAGAAAGTTACAATATCCGGTAATTCTCTATTCAGGGAAATCACAAGTACAGTTCCTACCCTGAGCCACTCACTTAATCTATCTCTGCTCCCTGGGCAACTAATTCTCTAAGCCTTTAAGGCCCAGAACAATTGTTGGACTGCATTGATGTAAGAAATATCCTGTACCAATGAAACCACAGATCTGGTTGAAAAAAATTAAAATTAAAGTTTTATTCTGATGACTCATTGTTGTACGGAGGTGATTTGGTTTCTCAAGCTGTGCTGACCAGTTCTGTAAGCTGAAAAGACTGGGAATGAAGTCTGGATCAATTTGGGGAAGCTCTTATCACTAGAGTTGGGAACCAAGTAAATTAGCTGATTTGGCTATAGTACTCACAAAACCACCAACCAATTCCTAGAGGGATTGTAATCTTGGGAAGTGGAAAGAATACCAGTACTTGATGAAACCACAGATATTTCTAAGAAATTAAGTAAACTGAGGCAAAAAAGGTCTAACAAGATTGTACAGTTGATTCATGACAGAGCCAGGACTAGAACCTGAATCCCGTTCAATTCTCCCTGAGCATTCGGCAAATTGGTGTCCTAGTTTTTAAAGTTGTGAACAGATAAACAATAGCAGATCCACTGAAATGATTAAAGT